TGCTGGCTGGGGAATTCTGGGAGTTGAAGTTTAGACATCTTCAAGTTGCCAAGATTGAGAAACACTGTTCTAGATAATTCAATGACCCAAATCTATTTTTATGGTGCAGTTGCCTGGAATGTCATCTCATCCTTTATTACCTTTGCATGGATGACTGAAAGGAGCACATCTGCTTGCTGGAGAAAAGAAGCTGCTTCTAGTGCCTGCTGCAGGGTTTCATGATGTTCCTTTAATGTCCTCTGGAGCTGAAGCCACCTGAAAGAATGGAAGGAGGACAACAGGTAAACAGTTTAGCTCTCTCTCCTTCTTGGAAAAGCTGCCTTGATTATTGAATTTTAATAGAAAGGTACCAAGTATGGAAACCTAAGAGAAATGTGATCAGATGATACTCTAGCTTGTCCTAATATTGTCTCTGCACCAGTGGTGGGATTCAAAATTGTTTACTACTGGTTCAGTGGGTGTGGCTTGGTGGGTGTGTCAGGGGAAGGATACTGTAAAATCTTCATTTCCTCCTGATCAACTGGGAGTCGGGAGGCAGAGAATAGATGGGGTGAGGCCATTCAGAGGTGGTATTTACCCGAACTCAGAATTTCTGGTTCTACAGAACTGGTCAGAATCTGCTGAGCACCACTTCTGCTCTGCACCATCCTGTACATCCTGTCTACCAGCTGCTGCCTGGGCTTACATTTTATTCAGGTACTTGCGTCGTGCCATGATACTTTTGCTTTCACTCTTCCCTTGTTTCTCAAGCTTCTGAGCCAGGCTATTCAATTCCTCATGCACAGCTTGGAATTGTAGCTCCTCCTAAGTTCAGTGTAGGGGAAAAACAGAAGAGAGGAGACAATAAAGTAATGTAAACTTAGTTTTCATTAAAACATCTCTCTCTTTGCTCCAAATGAAATTAAAACTGGCAACAAGTACAATGCAGAGAATAGCCAGTTTATGTGTGCATATTGAGATGTGCTGTTACTATTCACATTCAGTGGCTGCCTGAAGAACCTACTAGTCCAGAAACAGATAGATATGTGCAAAGGTCCTCCTGGCCACCCGCTACTCTTCTAGCAGGAGTTGTGTGTCCAGAAAATTCCCATATTGCATACCAGTCCTGAATGGGAAGTGCTATTCCATCCAGGACTAAAGATGGAAACTTTCCAGGATCAAGAACCCAAACACCCGCCACCATTAATTCTTCCTTAGATGAAGCATGAATCTATTCATCCCCATCTGAATCCTCACAGCTGTGGACTTTAACATAAGATATTGGCAACATCATTTGGGCAGTTTGTGATGTGCAACTGGGTATCAACTAGTAACCTTATGTAAATTTTAAGGACAAGAGTTGTAAGTATTGAGTCTTGAAACACCACGTAAGTGAAGAACCTCAGGCTTAAACTCTTCCTCCTGCCAACACTAACTGGAACCACCCAGAATGAGAAAAGCCACCACAACACAGTTTTCTCTAGCCTCCATAGGATACCATGATCAATAATATTGAAAGCCACTCAAAGGTCAAACAGAATCAGAGCCACCACTGCCAGACTCTACCAGAGGTCATCAATAAGTACAAGCAATGTTGCCTTAGTATTATGCTCCTGTCTGAAACCCAACTGAAAAAGGTCCAGCTAACCCTTCTCTATAGCCTACTGAAGCCACAGTCCAAACAACCTTCTCAACAAATTTTCCTTTAAAAAAAAAAAGGAAAGTTGGAGGCTAGACAAAAATTGTCCAAGGCTCTTGGGTCAAGCAGTGATACACCGCCACTTCCTTCCAGATAGAAGAAGCACTCCTTCCCTCATGTGAATGGACACCCCTGCATAGATTCTACCACATCACTTCTTAAGCCTTTACAAATAAAGGAGGGCATAAATCTAATAAACTAATGGCAAAGTTTGCAGTCCAAAGAATTCTCTCCACTTCTTTGGGAATGAAACTCTTCCCAGCCAAACTGAAAAACAATGCTTTGGGTCCCTTAAGAGGACTTGCTCAGTCTGAGTCCATCTCTGAGGAGATCTGCAGACCTCTTCTAAGACAGAATCTTTTTGCAAATACATCAGACCCAGAAAATAAAATGAAAATAGAAATATCCTTCAAATGCTATTCACAACACAAATCTCCATAAGGAATGTCAGGAAGATTACCTGCTTTAAGTCAAGGATCTGCCGAGTAATTTGTACCTTATCTGCCTTCTCTTGCAATAAAATAGCTAGCAAAGGCTTCTCTTCCTAGAGAGGAAAAGATGATTAAAATAGGAGAGATTCGGGAAAACACAGTGACCATAATATTTACAGGAAATTTTAAAAGATGGAAATATTTCTTCAGGATACACACAGGAATTGTTTTTGTAAATGTGCATACCAGAGAAACTTGAATATTAAGATCTGTGTAAATTGTGTAATAAGGCTGCTAATATTTATGATGCGGTAAGATTTTCTTCATTCTTTTCAAGTTTAGGAAAGAAACTCTAGAAATTTTTAAATTTATGTGAAGAAATGGAATGTAAGTGAAGGACAGAAGTCATGGATACTGAAATTAAAACTTCTAATAGAATTCAAAGCAAAAAACAAACAAATCCAAAACCCTTTGAAGACTGAAGACTGATGATAAACTCAGACCACTATAAGGTTTGTCTGGTTTTATCTCTGTTTTGAGCTTTCAAGAGAAATGGCCAAAACCTTTTCTTTATATAAAACCTTAAAAACACTTTAATTAAAGGTAACAGCTAAAAAAAATGAAGTTTGGGTTTACTACAGGAACTGAAATCCACCACATCTGAGTAACACTAGCTTGAGGAAGAAAATAAAAAGGGAAGGGGAAGAAATATTTTCTCAATCCCAAATTAGATTATTGAGGAAAATTAATCTACTTAAAAAGAAATCAGAACCAATGAACTGATGGACTTAAAGTGAATAGCCCTCAGCTCTCTATTTGCAATTTCTGGAGATGCCTCCTAGAGTAAGCAGGAGTAAAATTTTGGGAGTTTTTTTTTCTTAGCTAGGGCTTCTCCTCCCCAAAAGCAGTAGCCATTTTTGAGGCTCTTAAGGGCAAAATGGATATTTAGGCCTCTACAAGGCTTGAGCAGCTACTTCAATCCTAACCACCACAAAATAAAGTTTAAAAAGAAGTTTTCAGTGCTGCCCACTCTGGAGAGATTATCACTGGACACATCCTTATTCAAAAATGATGTTGAGAATGATGATGCAGAAGAAAAAATAATGGGTTATATTTCAGCCACCAGAACAAAATTCACATCTCTGAAAAGAAAATGTCTCTGGGACTCATTTTTTAACCTTCCTACTTATCCTAAGTAATTACCTTCTGCCTGATCCAGGCTTCTAGTTGTTCAGCTTTCTGGTTGAACTCTTGTAGACTCTTGAAGCCAACGACTGTTTTAGTCTGATTTGTTGCCATGTGCTTCAGCAATTGCCATTGTTCTTGCAGGGTCTGAAGTCGTCTCTCTACCTCTGTGCTGGATTTTGGTTGGATCATCAGTTGTTCACCCATCTGCAGGAAAGATGGGAAAAATATACTAACAAAGTTGAAACTACAACCCTATTATCTTGTAAATGCATTTAACCAATGAAAAAAGTACAGAAAATGAGGTTAGCAATCAAAAAATAAAATTTCCACAGCATGTTCTATTTGGCCCAGTTTGTCTTTTTTAAAAAAGTTTGACAATTAAGCCCTGTGAGAAATCAACTGGCAAGGCTGCAAGGTTGCTTTCAAATGTCAGTTATGAAAGTAGGTTGTTAATAAAATGTAGCAGATGAGGAATTTATCAATTGAGGATCAAAATCTACTAATTTGGGGGCAATGGGAAAGTATTACAAAAAAAAAAGATTGTATGTACACCAGTATCTTAATTAGACCTAAAAATTAATTTAATGTGGATACTAAGACTGTTGAATTCTATAACTGTTGAACCAATCAGGTGAGAATTGAATAGTATATATAAGAATAGCAACTGAGGAAATTCTCTATTTCATGCAAAGATATTTTCAATTCTTGGAATATTAAGGTGGCATGAAGAGGAATGGCAAACTTGGCCTTGTTCCTGAGAAAATGGCACAGAAAAAGTTCTGATAAAGTAGTTGTGAGAAAAAGAAGGGAAGCCTATTTGCTCACACTACTTTTCTTGTCAGGAAGAAAATCTGCTTCAATAGAAACTTCATCTTCATTTGATTTTAAATTAACCATGGAATAGGTAAGAAGGAAACAATTAAGCATTAAAAACTTCAAGTTGAGCTTGACGTGATGATTTCATGGACATATCCATGTTATTTTCTTGGCAACAATACTGCAGCAGTTCGCTGTTGCTTTCTTCCGGGACTTTATTCTTTACTTAGCTGGGAGGTATTTGGTGGAAAATTCCACAGAGGGAGAAAAAGTTGGCCTTTAAGCAGGGACTGGAACACTTCCAGCAGCCCACTATCTCACGAACATCTGCACAAGCTTTACTTGTAACAAAATGTGATAGTTTTATTTTTGAATGCAATTAAGCAATATTTATTCTTATGTCTATTAACATGCTACACTGAAGTAAAATAATACACGGTTTGTTTCTTTTCCAGAAAAACATGAAAAAGGTTGCTTAATTTTTTAAACTGGCATTTTCTCCCCTCTCTGGATCTTGTAGGTAGGACATTTAAGCCATTCTGACCTACTGAAAAATTGGATGCAGGTGTCTTTTTTCACGCAGATGTAAAGTAAGAGGAAGCAGCCCACAGACCACATTTTACCTGGTTCAGTTTGATGATGGTATTCTCAAAATCCTTCATCTCTCTCTGTAATATTTGAGCTATCCGTTCCCATTCCTGAAATCTGCAACCATCCTTCAGGTCATGGAGTTTTCCTTGCATCCATTTTTCAGCCTGAAAGGGATAAAAAATAACATAGATGGTTTGCTATACTTTGCTATGCTTCCTTCAGGAAGTTCAAAAGTCAGCTCTTATGTGGGAAAAGAGAAAGGATATAGGGCACTATAAACAGGACATCTTCTAGTATAGCAATAAAGAACTTAAACAAGATTATATACCCATAATATTTATTCCAGTAGATGTTCCAGAACTATAACATTGCAGCGGGGCTTCCAGGAAAACTGAAATGAAGCAGCTCGCGTGGTTTTCTGCAGACCTAGATGTACACATGTGTCATCTCTCCTGTGGGAGTTGCATTGGTTGCTGATTTGCTTCTGGGTCCAGTTCATGGTGCTGGTTCTCACCTTCAGAGACCTACATGGCTTGGGACCAGGTTATTTGAAGGACCATCTTCTCCTGCTTACATCTACCCAACCTACCAGAGCAGNTCCAACATTAGAAAACAGAAACCAACTTCCCCAAACCCCAGAATATTCTCAGTGGTCAATATTGAGCAACTTTGAGACAACTCAAAACAGAAAACCAAGGGGAATGGAATGGAATTATACAGAAGTATTCTGTACTGCAATTTGCCCACCTTGTTTGATCTAAAATGCATGACAATACAACTTTTCCATGAAGCTCACAGAATAAACCTTAAATATTTCCCTGGTCCATTCTACCCCAAAACTAAGCCCTCCCCTGAAAATAAACCCTTCCCAAAAATATTGCAACACAGCAGCAGCCATGAGGTGACCACGCTTGCTGCCTCCTGCACCTCAAAAATAATAAGAAAGGCCTCCTGAAAATAAGGCCAGGTGCTTATTTCAGGGGTCAAAAGAAAATAAGACCCTGTCTTATTTTCGGGAAAACACGGTATATGCAAGGAACCATTCTTGAGTAGATGTAATGGGAAGCATTGATGACCTTGGGATAATGGGGGAGGAGATGCAGCCTAGGAGACAACCAGGCAAGAGTAACAGAAGCCACCAAGGACTTTAACACAGAAGAAGAAACTTAGGAAGGATCCTTCCTAATGTATCAAGCATTTAAAAGTGGCAATGGGAAGTTTGTGCTTTTAGACTTTCAGGATAAGTCAGCTTTCCCGGGTAAACCAGACAGGAAACATGGCAAGATAAACTAATTTTCCTTTATTGTAAGGCTACATTAAACAAAACTTACAACACAAGTTTATCATCACCACATTTAACTGCTTGATCTATTAGGGCAGATCCTTCCTAAGTTTCTTTCTCTGACAGTTAAGTCACTGGGGGCTCTTCTCAGATTGTTTCCTAGGTAGCATCTCTTCTATTTTTTTCCTCAAGATCATCCACACATTCCATTACAACAGGCTGTGAAAAAAACTTTATTGCTAAACAATAAAGCAGATCAAAACAAGTTCCCTGCCTGGATATTCCCACAGCTCCATTTTTCATCATTTTCCAGAACACTTTCCCTAGGGCAGCCCTGCGTATGCCAATACCTCCTGCTATCACCGTTGATGGCTTCTCTTCCTAAGAAATCTGAGTTGTTTTCTTGGCTTCTTACACCTTGTCCTGTGATTTCTGGAGTGTTCTTTTGCACCTAGGAAGATATGTCCAATGATTAGAGAGTTACTAAATAGATTGTCATTGGCCCTACGATAACTATTGAACATCTCCTGTTTTTTATTCTCAAATCTGCTTCCTTCCTTTATTATCCAAAAAATTATTGTGCCAGAATTTCATTTAACCAAAAATCTCAAAATGCCATACGGTATGTAGGACTAGTAAAGGACCATCACTTAATAATGGACCATAGTCTTCTCTACTGTTTCACGCCAAAGCCATTCAAGGAGAAAGAGATACTTTCACCTACATTCTCAGAAAGAAATAATCCTAACTCTGTCCCACAAATCTATGAACAGAAAGTTGCTGCAAGAGAGCCTCTTTTACCAGTAGTAGCTTAATCACGGGCTTAAATCAACAAAGTAAAGATCAATGCATTCATCTGGAATTAATATCAAAAATTCAACTGTCATCACAGATTCATGGGTTTAGTAGAGTATTAATTATGATTTCTGTGATGTAACAAGATGTGGGGCAAAGGAAATTTGATTAGGTTCATTTTTTATATGGATGAAGAAATCCGAGGGTGACCCTAAATGCAACAATTACCTCCCATACTAGTCTTTCTTCTGGATCATCTTCTGGTCTCTTTGTAGTTGTAGTCAGTACCTGATTAGGACTTGAATCTATAAATTCTTTTGTTAAAGCCAATTGTGCGGGATTATCACTCCTAAAACGTGGGAAAGTAGAAAAATGGAGAAAAGAAAAATAAAAGAAAATGATTCCAATAAGAATGGGAAAGGAGAGGCAGAAAGCCAACATGAAAACCACTACAGAATAAATCTAGCCCTGTCTCAGAGCAATCTTAGCTCTGTTCATTACAGAAGCATTATGTAAATCATTTTATCCTTTTTTGTTACTAGGGAGGGTGGAGGTTTGTTCTCCGAGCTTATGGTTTGATTTCTGAAAGTTTTGTTACCAGGCTAGGTAACATATTTAGTGGTGTAAGTAATATTCTACACCCTAGCTACATATATTCACCACCATCACACAAGGACTAGTTTTTAAGTAGAAGAACTCTTATAATTTAAGAGTAATTATCCTATGTAATGTGGCTATAGGGACGCGTTGGCTCAGTGGCTAGACGCTAAGCTTGTCGATCCGAAGGTTGGCAGTTCAGCGGTTTGAATCCCTAGTGCCACGTAACTGAGTAAGCTCCCATTACTTGTCCCAGCTTCTGCCAACCTAGCAGTTCGAAAGCATGTAAAAATGCAAGTAGAAAAATAAGGACCACCTTGGTGGAAAGGTTACAGCGTTCCATGTGCCTTTGCATTTAGTCATGATGGCCACATGACTACAAAGATGTCTGTGGACAATGCTGGCTCTTTGGCTTTGAAATGGAGATGAGCACTGCCCCCTAGAGTCGGGAATGAGTAGCACATATGTGCAAGGGGAACCTTTACCTTTTTAATGTGACTATTTAATGAACCTGTTATCCTCTAGATATACAAAACTATCCACTCAGAATAGTCATTTAAGTTGATTCTGAATTAAAGGATACTCTGGCAGAGTTTGCACATTTAAATAT